GGGGGGGGTGTAGCGCTGCACAACTGGCCAGGTGCATTATGGGAGGGGTTTGCTCGCAACGGAAGCATCTGAGTGCCAGAGTGGCTGTAGATGGGCCGGCACGCCGATCCGTCGCTCCAGGAGACCAGACCAGAGGGGCGACTCCAGTTCCCAAGGGTTTGCAGGCTCTAACTCGGCCCTTCTTTCTTGGCTCCCAGTTTTTCTACCACAACTTTGACCGCAGTAACCATGACGACGATGACATCCGGAACTGCGCCGTGTTGGACCTGGCCTCCTTGCAGTGGATGCCTATGCAGTGCGACTCGCAGCTGGACTGGATCTGCAAACTGCCCAAAGGTAAGAGGGAGCGCGGGCTCTCCAGGCGGCACAGGGCTGAGGCAGGGCCTGCAGGGAGATTGCAACGCCTCCCATCTGCCAACCTCAAAGCACGTCTCCCACGCCCCGGTGGTAGGAAAGGGGTCTGTAGGGCTCACTGGCATGGGCTCTCTTGGGGCTGCTTGTGGGCACAGGGGCTGTGTCTAGACTGGCATGATTTTGCGGAAATACTTATAACGGAAAAGTTTTTCCGTTAAAAGTATTTCCGCAAAGGAACGTCTAGATTGGCACGGATGCTTTTGCGCAAAAGCATCCCTGCCCAGTATAGACGCGCTTTTGTGCAAGAAAGCTCTGATGGCCATTTTAGCCATTGGGCTTTCTTGCGCAAAAAATGAAGGTGCCTGTCTACACCGGCCCTCTTGCACAAGAGGGCTTATCCCTGAGTGGGAGCGTCAAAGTATTTGCACAAGAAGCACTGAATTCTTACATTAGAACGTCAGTGCTCTTGCGCAAATTCTCGCAGCCAGTGTAGACAGGCAGTCGCTTTTGTGCAAAATCTTGCCAGTCTAGACGCCCCCAGGGAGTTTTCCCTGTTGGAGGCTGGAGCCGCCCCCTCCATGGTTATAACAGGCTGTGTCCTCGTTGCACAAATAAGCATGTTCTTAACTTGAGTGACAGTAACCGTGAAGAAGGGTAACTTAGCCCCTCAACTTCAAGCCTAGATAGGAGTCTGGGGTGAACTCACACACCAGTCCACGTAAAAGCTGAGTTCCTGCGTCTTCGCTGCTGTTGTAACCCAGGTGAGTTAACCTGAGTCAAAAACCCCCTTTTGTGCAGTGTAGACAAAACTAAGCCGTCCTGGCCAGATCTGAACCCTCTCTGGGGAGCCTCTCTAGATCCATCTGAGGAGGAAATGCCCCAGACTGAGGAGAGAAAAAACCACAAATCAACCCTCCCGAAACACTGCCCTGCCCACACAGAGGCTACATCTATACTGCAGAGTTTTTGTGCAAAAACTCAGAGTGTCCACACTACAAGCGCATTTTTGCACAAGAAAAAGTACAGTAGATCGTGAGAAGAGAGGGCTTTTTGTGCAAGCGCTAGTCCTCCTTCTGCGAGGTGCCAGCAGCTGGTGCCGGGCTCTCTGGGATCCCTCTGAAATCACCACCCCCCCGGCCCCGGACGGCTGATCAAGAATGCCTGCGGGCTCGGGATCCATCCGTCAGAAGCGGTTTGAAAGCCCCAGGACGCTGCCGCCGGCCGAAGCCACGTGGCGTGGGAGGCCACTTCCAGCTAATTGCCATCTGTCTGATTGGCTTCAGAGCCCTGGGCTGAAAGGGGGCAGGCGACTCCCGTGCAGGAATCGGAGCCGCTGCAGGAGCCGAGCGACATCCAGGTGCTTTGCTCATCCCCCTTCTCTGTGTTTGAACAGGTGCTGACGTGAAGCAGCCAGAGGTCACCACCCAAGGTGCGTCCCGGGCACGTGGGAGTCTGCGTGTCCCTCGCTGTCTGCCCCCCCTGCCGAGCGTGCCCACACCCCGAGGCCTGTGTTGTGTGTGCGTGTCCCTGGGAAGACTCTGCCTCTCGTGCGTATCTCCCCGTTGGCGTCCACCTCGTGGAACCGAGTGCCTGACCCATGAGGTGTTTGCGTCCGCTCTGTGGGCCCTGTGTCCTTCCAACGGCAGCTCCCCTCCCAGGCCTTAACAGCATTAATGAGCAAACCCTCAGAAACCCCTCCAGAGCTCAGGCAGCATCACTGGCCCTGTTTTACATAGGGGGAAACTGAGGCAGGGAGCCGGAGAGGCGGAGCTGAGGGAGCCGGAGGGGCGGAGCTGAGGGAGCCGGAGGGGCGGAGTTGAGAAAAGGAGTGGTGAAAAGCCACACATGCAATGCATTCATGATCTAAGTATTTGTGATTATTGAAACACATTTTGTCTAGCAATGAAGCCCTAGAAGTACATTGAAAAAGCTCCAGCTGGTACAATATGCAACATCCTCGTCTCACTGGCAATACCGTGAACTCTGTTCCTCTGTCTGTACTGGCTCCCATTTGCTACAGAGTGCAGATGAAGGTTGCTGTCCCGATAGTCAAAGCCTTGGCTACTCCCTCTCCCTGAGAGACCACAGCTTTCCACAACTGAGGTTCAGCTGAGGGAGCTGGAGGGGCGGAGCTGGGGGACCTGAGGGAGCTGGAGGGGCGGAGCTGAGGGAGCTGGAGGGGTGGAGCTGAGGGACTTGAGGGAGCTGGAGGGGCGGAGCTGAGGGAGTTGGAGAGGCAGAGCTGAGGAAACTAGAGGGGCAGAGCTGGATATCCAATACTGGGGGCATGAGCAGAGCTGCGGGGAGATTGGCCGGAGGGGCTACGGATCAGGCAGGAGGTCGAGTTGCCAAGGGGCCGCTAGCACAGCAGGTGCTGCCCTGGAGCTGTCACTGTCTCACAGCACAAAATGTCTCTTGCTCCCCCGCACCTGTGGCAAGCGTGACAGACGCCAAGGAAGCCGCAGAGGGGCTGCTGCTGACCCTCCTCTCCTCTGCTCTCTGTGTCCGCAGGCAGCAAAGAGTGGCTGCCGTACCAGGATGCCGAATACAAATTCTTTGAGCATCACTCGACCTGGGTGCAGGCTCAGCGCATCTGCACCTGGTTTCAAGCCGAGCTGGTGTCGGTTCACAGCCAAGCCGAGCTGGACTTTCTGGGGCAGAGCCTGAAGAAGGTAGGAGAATGTAGCCCAGCAGAGGGCACCCTGGGGGCGTTGTCTGGTCCCCGCGTGTCGCTCAGCGCTGCCGCTAGCTGGATGCGGGTTTGCGCAGGCTGGGAACCGGCTCCCTTCCACGCTGGTGTGTGGATTCCCCGCACGAGAGCCGAGCAGGGTGGCAGTGATGTAAGTCCAGCGTGCACAAGCCAGCACCAGCAGATACGGGGCTCGTAAAATCCCGTTTAACTGGCTAGTCGTATTATTTATCCACCGCCCGCTGCAGGGCTGGAATCCCCTCCCCCAGCCGCCACCCCCACTGCCCCCCCACTGCCACAGGCAGGGGGTTCTCCAGCCCCACTGGTTAAACCGTCACATCCCTAGCAGACCCCCTGGATTCATACCCATGTAACTGGGAGCAGACTTTGGCTCTGGCTTGGCCTTTGGGCTGACTGGCACCAGCGAACGCAGCTCCCTGCTCCTGACAGGAGGAGGGTGGGCATTGACCTCTCCACCTTTGGAGGACGGCGCGTCAGGATTGGGAGGGAGGGGGCACCTCTGTCTGGTTTGTGACCTTGGGGAAGCCTGAAGAAACTGCTGGACGCAGCCCGGACGGCCCCGGGAGGCCCTGGAGGAGGAGGCAGGAGCTGAGTGGGGCCTGTCGGATTGGCTGGGCTCTGCCTGTCACGCTGACGCGTCCCGTGCTTGGGTTTCCCAGTTCTCCCGGGGCCAGGAGCAGCACTGGTGGATCGGGCTGCACAGCTACGGCCCTCGCTCCCCCTGCAGCCCGCTCGCCGCCCTCCATCCTACCCCCACCCCGGTCTGAAGAGGGCTGCCTTGCCGTGCAAGCCCAAGCAGGAACGCCACCTTACATTCCAGCTATGGGGGGCGGGGAGAGGGCGCCGGGGGCAGGGTTCCGGACTCCTCCGCTCCCCTGGCTGGAAACGCCTTTGCTGGGGGGAGTCGGCATTCTGCCCTCCGATACACGCCTGCCCAGAGCTGCAGGAGCCGGGCAGGGTGTCTCCTTGCTCACTGTCTGCGGGCTGAGCCCGGAGCCTCTCCAGCCCCGAGTTCCGTTCCGGCCACGTCCGGGTGGGCCGTTGGCAGCTGGGTCTCGGAGCCCGAGCCTCTGCTGCTGGAGCGGAACAGCCAGCCCCTTGGCTCAGGCTGGCTCATCACCCTCTCCGCTGTGAGAAGAGGGCCAGCGGGCCGGGCACCGTGGGTGTGGGCTGCCCTCTGTGTATTGACAGGGTGTTACCCCTGCCTCAGGAGTCGGGTACAGTCTGTGCTGCGAGGCATGAGCCTGCCCAGTGTAACCACACAAGCCAGCCTCCCCCCCCGTCCTTCCCCCCAGAAACCTCCCATCTGACCTTCGCCTGGGAGCTCCCCTGGGCGCTCTGTCCTGGCTGGTGCCGGGCCTGCCCTTTGGGGAGGGGAATAGGTGCCCCAGCCACATGTCTGCCCATGCCGCCCACAGGGCGCCTTGGTCCCATTCCACA